GGAAGGGGACAAATATGAATATGCACTAAGGTTCAAGTTCCAAGCCTTAAATAATGAGGCTAAATATGAGGCCCTGCTAGCCGGTATCCGTATGTGTAAGGGGACAGGGGCAAGAAAGGTTGACGCCTACTCTGATTCTCAGTTGATCGTTAGCCAATACCATGGTGACTACGAGGCCACCCATCCGGATATGATCAAATACCTTCAGGCGTTCAAAGATGAGGCCGAGACACTTGATGAATTTCATCTAAGTCAAGTGCCCAGGTCAGAAAACAATCAGGCGGATGCGCTCTCTAAGCTGGCATCATCCGCCTCCTGTGATACGCCTAGGTCAGTCTTTTGGGAAGTCATGGAAAAGAGAAGTATTGAGCATGATCCCATTGGAGTTCTTGACTGGAGCTCGACTTGGATGGATTCCATCCGGGCTTAACTGGCAGACGACACTTTACTGGACGCCCATTTAGAAGCGGCTGCATTGAAGAAGCGGGCCGCAAGTTTTGAGATCCATAATGGAGAACTCTTTAAGAAGGGTTACCTCTAGCCGCTGCTGAAATGTGTTATCCCGGAAAGGGGAAAAGAAGTTCTAGAGGATCTGCATTTGGGCTTTTGTGCATCACATATAGGCGGCAAAACTCTAGCAAAAAGGGCCAGGTGGCAAGGCTACTTTTGGCCCACTCTTGAGGCAGACGCCATGGAAATGGTGAAGAAGTGTGATAAATGTCAAAAATTCGGCAAGCTCATACACTGTCCGGTTACTGATTTAACGGCTATTTACAGCCCCGTGCCATTCGCCAAATGGGGCATGGACATTCTGGGTCCATATACGCCTGCTACAGGCGGACGGAGGTACATTCTAGTTGTCGTTGATTGTTTCACCAAATGGGAAGAGGCAGAGGCGGTCAAGGGCATAAAGACAAAGGATGTCATCTCCTTCATTTGGAGGAACATTATCACCCGGTTTGGGGTACCTATGTCTATGGTCTTTGACAACGGCCCTCATTTTGAGACGCCTACCCTAAAGAGTTGGTTGGGAGATCAAGGGATCTCACATTGTTTTGCATCAGTCGGCCGTCCCCAGCCAAACGACCAAGTTGAAGCCTTCAACAAGCTCATCTCAGACGGCATTAAAAAGAAAATTGAAAGGGCTGGCGGTCTATGGGCAGTTGAGTTGCCTCATGTCCTATAGGCCATCAGAACAACTGAAAAAGGGGCAACCGGTGAAACCCCGTTTCTCATGACATACGGCACTGAAGCCGTCCTGCCTATTGAACATTATGAGCCAACACTTCGAATCATGCTCTATGATGAGGAGGCTAATTGGGAGGCCATGCGACTGGCATTGAATTCACTCCCGGAGCGCAGGGGCAATGCTGCCTTGCGTCATGAGATTTTCTGTTTGAGAGTGACAAGATCCTACAACAGAAGAGTGCACAAACTGCCCTTAAAAGTGGGGGACTTTGTGTTACGGAAAATGGAGGCAACCGGTAGGGCTAATTAGCAAGGAAAGCTGACCCCTAATTGGGAAGGCCCCTACCGGATTTTTGAGGAAGTTAGAGGTGGCACCTACCGCCTGGAAACTACAGACGGTAGGCAGCTAGCCAGAACTTGGAATGTAGACAACTTGAAAAAGTACTACTTCTAAAGACTTGTAAATCTTTGTAAATAGAGTATGTTAATGAAAAGGTGCTTTATTTATGTTTTCTTGTACAAAGTTCCATCTGTGCAATGCACAACTGGGCATACGTCTGCTCTAACTTGAGTAGATATAAGCTAAGTCCTAAACTCAACAGCTATTTATAAGGCTAATGGCCGGATAGACTTCAAACCACCTGCTCCAACATGAGTTGGCAACCGGCGACACCCATTTGGGTGAATTCGTCGAAGAGAGCATCTCCCATTTGGGTGGTACATTGTTCTATAAATCATAACTCAAGCGGCTTTGACCGACTAACTAGGTTAAAGATAACTCACGGCCGTTTGAATAACTCAAAACCTCGATACAACCGGCGTTGCTTCAAAGCAACACAAACGGTAACTGATATGTTGGTCAAATATAACTGGTCCTTGCCCAAAGGCACTACAGCCAGTTAAACTCCAAATTAAGCAAGGCCAAAGCCTTAGCAGCTAAAACATAATAATGGTCATGACACCAACATCCGGCCAATGATCGCTTGCTATTATGCATCTGGAAAAGACTGATTACCCTAAGGGCTAAATCACAGCCGGTTAATAGAGTAACCTAGGTTGATCCCTAGCTGCAACCGTCTGCTAATCCAACTTAGAAAATAATTTGAGAAATTTCTCTAAAGGCAGCCAATGACCGTCTGTCTATTCATCCGGATGCTTGATTGGACGGTTGCCTGCTTAGGGTTGGGCAAATACCAAGCAAACAAGCGTCCAGGGGCAGACAAAGCCAATGCACCCGAAAAACCGCATGTGTTAGGTTACTTGCAAAAATATTCGTGCATACCAAAAAATTAAGAAAATTGCAAAAATTGAAGCAAAATATATCAAAGGCAATTATGGGAAAAACCGACTCAGTCGACAAAATCTATTGAATAATAATAATTGTCAGTCGGAACTACGTCCGGGGAGAAAGAGAATACATGAGATACTCGGCTCGCAGGCCGGAGATAAAAAAGAAAAACAACAAGGTTCACTGCTGCTGGGGAGGCTAAAACGTCTGGCCCTGGCCGGATGGAGGAGCATCCTGAGTTTGCTGAGGTTGGGCTTGATTAGCCTCACCCGGCGCTCGTTCTTCCGCTTGCTCCTCCTCCGAATCTTCCTCGGCAATGGCAGCCCATTCTTCAAAGGGAGTCGGCTTCTCAAGCCCAAGAATCTAAGCATCGTACACCTCGGTGGCGTACTTGTACCTTAGCTCAAAGAACTCCCATTCGGTGTTCTGGTGAATGAGGGACCAGGCCATTTTCATGCGAGCCTCGTAGTCTTGCTCGTTTTTAACGACCAGCCGATCCTGCTCGGCTGCCAGCTCGGCCTTGTGATTAGCCTGCGTCTGTGCTAGCTCGTTCTTCAGCCGGGAGACGTCTGCCCTTAGTTGGGTGTTCTCCTTGTCGGCATCCCCAAACGCTTTGACGTCGGCCTGGAGGTTTTTCACTTGCAGCTCAAAGTCAGCCGCCTTCTTGTTGGTTGTGTCCTCAGCCGCAGTGAGCTCCTTGATAAGCTCCTCCTGTTTCATCTCTTGGCTTTGAGTTTTTATTTCATACATTAAGGTGTTGTATTGAGTAACATCAATGAGATCAGCCGCCCGCCTATTGGCGTCTCTTACCTCATCCTGTTTCTTCCTCAAGGGAACCTTGAGGCCGTCTACCTCAGCATCACCTGTAACATCAGCCGGAAAGGGTTAGTCTCTCACTTATGGTACACCCGGCAAAAAGAGTAAATTATACAAAAGTACCCCAACCGGCAAATTACCTCAGCAAGCAGCGAGTTGATGCGGTCAATGTTGACCTGGTGCACACCCGACACCGCCTCCTTCTCGGACCGGGTGAGGGTCCTCAGCATCCTCTTTGCGTATTGTTGGAGTTCAGGCCAACAGGAAGAGACATCTGCACCAACAGAGTCAGGTGTTAAGTAATAAGCATAGGCGGCATCTATATTTTGCCGGCTGTCGGAGGAATCCCTGGATTGGGTAGCTTGGGACTTGACTCGCATAGGCCCAAGCGGCCAGGGGGGATCAAAGGTGAGAGCCATACCTTGATTTTCAGGTTGAGGGGACACCTCACCCCCAGCCGCATTAGAGCCGGTTGCTGCAGCAGGCTGTCGGCTTGAGGGCGTTTCAGGCTCTCTCGTCTCAACCTCAACCGGTCCCGTGTTTAGACCGAGGTCCTTCAGGCTCTTCCTTGCTGAGGTAGGCCTATCAGATACAGCCGGTCTTCTAGAAGAGGGAGGGACAGCCGGAACCCTCCTTGTCTTGGAAGGAGGCTGAGAGGCCTCCTCAGCCGGTCTTTTTAGCATTTTTACAAGGGAGCGAGGAACATTCTTGCTCCCCGCCTGAAAAAGAAACAGAGCAACCGATTAATATCAGAATTGACATCAAACTATATAGACGGTAAAAAGGACTCAGCCAGAGCTTACCCCATCGTCCTTGGCCGCCATTTGGGCCCTTTTCTTTTCTAATTGATCCTTTCGGATCTGGGCAGCAGACTTAGTCGGTGTCTTCTCAGGCGGCACCATCTCTAGTCCTTTTTCCGCAAAAAGAAAATCAACCAGTCAAACACAACTCAGAATACTATAGATGGCAGAAAAGAGCCGGTTAATTTCTCTATAGACGTATGCTGAGAAAGGTGCTAAGACCGGAGACGGAGAGGAAAGCCTCATCCTTAAGCCAGTTCGGATGGGGTACCCAATTCTTGGGCACAATAATCTCGGACCCGTCATCTAAGGGCATGGTTGTTTTCTCAAATAGCCCTGCCTCTATTATTTGTGTGTACGCCTCCTCTGGGACGCGGGGAAGGGCACACTTCTTCCCTAGAAGAGTCGGATCCCTATTATAGTGCCAGAGCTGGTGGTTCAGGCGGCGGGAGGGAGAGGAGACTAAATAGAATTTGCTCTTCCAACTGCTCCACTTTGACGGCTTGTCAAGCGTCATCATGTATTCCGGGTGAGTGGTCAAAGTATACCACGCCCGCCAGCCGCCTGGGGCACGACTAAGATAGTGCATATGTGCAAACGCCAACCAGCTAGGCGTCACATTCTGCATCTCGCAGGCGGCAATGTACCCTAAAATGTTCACTCAGGAATCGGGTGTTAACTGCCAGACGCCCAAATCACAGCCTCTTAAGATAGCTCCGATGGCGATGTGAAGAGGAAGCCGGAGGCCGGCTTTAAACGCCGCCTCATAACAGCCGAAATAGTTGTCGGCGTGATCAATGTCATCCTCCCAGACGACGGTTGCCTCTGCAGGCAGTACTAATACTTCCCACCTATCCCCAACCGGACACTTCTTAATAAAGGCGGGGAAGGTGGCATTCAGAGTAGCGATGTCCCTGGCAGACATGCTTGATTCAGTAGGGTTGTTAATGGAGGGCCATTTGTACGCCTCCTCATCCTCCCAGAAGGCATCCGGTTCTAAGGATGTTGACTCCTCAGAGTCTGATTGTTGGACGGTTTCATCACTGCCAATGTCCTCAGACTCCTCCAAAATGTCATCGTTGGGTGTGCTAGGTACACCCGGAGGGTCAATATATTCTATATCAGTCGGTGCTTCAGCTGAGCCGTCTGATCTCTAGTCGGGGTCAACAGTCGTCCGATTGTCCGAGCCATTATGTCCTGCATATATAATATGCACAGAGACGGTCGGATTCGTGGAAGAGAAAGGGTGGTCCAAATACCCCCAGACGGCATCCCCAGTCCTAGACTCAGCCGTATCAGGAGACCGGCTGACAACTGTCCTAGGTCGTGTCGTGTGTGTGTTGGGTGAGTCCATTATTCTTTACAAAGCGTACAAATGGAAAAGCTCAAAGAGAGTTGCAAGGGGTAGAGACGGTACCTTGAAAAAGCTTTAGAAGAGTAAACGGTTGACTAGTTGAATTAGCAGCCGAAAATCAGGTTGTTGCTTGCTAGATACCCGGACGGTTCTCCGAATGTACCCCCTTTAAAAAAAATTAAAAATTGTTGAAAAACCCAGGCGTTTCTCTGAAATCTTGCTTGGTGATACCCCAGACGGTAGACCGGATGAGGGTGTATTGAAAGCAGATGGAAGCAATTAAGGTATGCTCAAACGGTGCTAGTGAGTTTTGAGCAATAGGTACTCAGACGGTAGCCGTTTGAGTGAAGAAAGGGCAGGCGGTTGTGAAAGAAATAACAGCCGGACGCAGAGCTCTCTTTTCTCTCTCTCAGAAATTTTCTCAAGAATGGAAAAATGAGGAAAATGAGGGGGGGGAGACTTCTACTTATAGAAGGAAATCCCCTAGAAGGCGAACCGTCACCTCCAAAAAAAAAAAAAAAAGAAAGAGAGAAGGGGGCGAAATGTCGCCTTCTCAGATTACGACACTTGTCACAGGTGCCACGTGGCAAGCCACGTCACACCTGTGAGGGGCAACTGTTTAGGGTAAAAATACCCCTGTCCACGTGGACAAATTGCATGCTGACACATGTCAGCCTCAGAGAAGTTCTGAAAGAACCTATCCTTTGACGACACGTGGCAGTCCATGTAATGAAAGGGGAGTTGATCCTCAAACCCTATAAATAGGGAGAGATCCCCATTTATTGCAAAAAAATTCAGAGAAATTCTCACAAAACAGAGCAATATTAATTGCAAATAATCTCTCTCGGAATCCGAGAGAAACTTTTTACATTCCGTACTTTTTACACCGAGCACGTTCTAACTTGATCGTCGGAGGCGGAACTCCACCCAACCGGAGTTTCCGTGGTTTTGCAGGTACAGATGGTCGGCATCCAGTCTTGGAATTGTAATTCTCCTGAGGGACTCCAAAAACCCCGAAACATCACCTATTTAAGGAGATTTTTTAATGCTTTCCCTTGACGTAGCAGTTTTAAAGTATATTATATTTTAAAAAATTGGTTACGGGTAAAAGTAGCGGCTTCTCATTCAAATAATGACTTTATAGCATTATTGAGGGGAAAAGGATCAGGTCTTTATTTGGAAAAAAAAATTAAGAGTGATGCTCAATGTTGGCAGGGTAATCCTCATTTCTACTCGAGTTTGAATTGGAGCAGCTTCTGTATGGATGTCATATCATCTAGCCAAAACTGTGTTATATGAACTGCGTATTCTTCAACAAGGCAATCGACTACTTGAGCAGTTACAGTTTTGTAATTGGGGCTAGGAACCCCGACATGGGGTAAGTCAGTCCTTCAGTTTGGATATATAATGAACAATATGGATATTATTGTACTTCTCTCTAATGTACTCTAGCATACTATCTCAAGCAGTATTTTCTTTCATATGCCCTTGTGAACTTTACGAGTAGTGGAAAAAAAAAGGCCATAATGTTGTTAGCTTAACTTGATTTTGTCAGATAAGTTCTATGTTGTTTACGGATAAGCAGTGTATAGTTAGATGGTTTGATAAATGAATCTGAGCTTGAGAAGTTGCTTGAAACTGTCAAAACCATCAAGAATTTCCTCCTGGATGCTGACTCCAAGTGCCAGAAGCTCACAAATGAAGGCCAATACTGGGTCCAGAACCTCAAGGACGCTGTCTATGACGCCGATGATCTGATGAATGAATTCAACACCATTGCTCATCAGTTGAAAAGAATGCCTGGTGGTAAGATTTTGAAGAAGGTACGCCGGTTCTTCTCCTCTAATAACCAGCTGATATTTGCTGTTAATAAGTCAAAAGAGATTAAGAATCTTAGGGAGAAGTTGGATAGGTTGGCTAAAAACCATAGTGATTTTGGGTTTAGTGAGCTGTATAAGCCTGTGAAGATTAGAGAAGAAACATGTTTGTATGTGTATGAACAGGATATTATTGGGAGGGATGCTGACAAGGAGGCCATTGTGGATATGTTGTTAAAAGATGATGTCTTGGAGAATAATATATCTTTTGTTACTATTGTGGGGATTGGAGGGTTGGGAAAAACTGCTCTTGCCCAACTTGTGTTTAGTGATCATAGGATTAAAGAAGCATTCCAAGAAAATATGTACTGGGTTTGTGTGTCTCTAAATTTTGACACGAAAGATATCCTAGGTAAGATGATTGGGAGGAATGAGCTAGGATTTGAGGACCTGCACAAAGTAGTTCGAAATAAGATAGAAGGGAAAAGATTTTTGCTTGTTTTAGATGATGTTTGGTATGAGAACGGTAGAAAATGGGATGAGTTGAAGAACTTCTTGATTTTAGGTGGAAGGGGAAGTAGGATATTGGTGACTAGCCGCTCCAGAAAGGTTGCAAGAGCTATTGGAAACTATCCAATTCATGAGTTACCAGGTTTATCGGCAGTGGATTCTTGGGAATTGTTCAAGAAAATATCAGTTGGAGATAGGGAAGACGAAGCAGTCACTGGCCTTGTTGAGATAGGAAGAGATATTGTGAAAAAATGTGCCAATGTGCCTCTCTCCATAAGGGTGGTAGCCAGTTTGTTGCGTTTTCAAGATATAGCAACTTGGCAGTCGTTCAAAAGTAATCAATTGGCTAACATGTGTGCTGGTGAGGATAGCATAATGCCAACATTGATGTTTAGCTATTATCACCTTACTCCTGAGTTAAAAAGTTGTTTTAGCTTTTGCTCACTTTTCCCTGAGGACTATGTCATTGATAAAACATTGTTGATTTTTCTCTGGATGGCACAAGGATATCTTGTTCCAAGTGCTAAAAATGAGAGCATGGAAGATGTCGGTGAAAAATATATATCAATTTTATTGCATAGATGTTTTTTCCAAGACATTAGAAGGGACAATATTGGTGAAGTTTATTCATTTAAGATGCATGATCTCATGCATGAGCTTGCGAGAAATGTTGCAGCAAAAGAGTCCTTGACATTGACAGCTTGTACAAATGATTTTGAAGGGAAAGTTCGTCATCTATACATTGACTGTAATGAGGGTCTGACTACCTGGTTTCACTCAAGTAATTGTTCAACTAAAACATTACGTACCTTTTTGAAGTATTCCGTATCCACAACTAGTGATGTGGATGCAATTATTTCAAATTGTAGTCGTTTAGGGATGGATTACTAAGCTGCTCTTCTTCTCTTCAAAAACTCAGTTTTTTGAATTGCAGGGAATTGGAGAACTTGGGAATAGGGATTCTCACCAACCTGAACAGGCAATATAAAGGGGATGCCATGGGAATCTCTTCACTCTCTTTCTTCCTTGAAAATAGTTGCTTGTGAAGAGGTGACGCTACTGCCAAAGGAGATTCAGTACTTAACCTCCCTTCAATCCCTCGTTATTGATGACTGCGAGAACTTGGAAGACCTTGGGGAATGCTTCAACTCCCTTACATCTCTAAAACAACTCAAAATTCAGAGGTGCACAAAACTCAAATCACTGCCTGAGGAAATGCGACACCTCACCTCAAAGAGTTAAGGTAACAGAACATATTATCTTTCTCATTTATTTATTTAATCAATCACTCCGTATCTTTTTTGCTTAACCCTCTTAATAACTACAGTAGGTTATTCATGTGCAAGTAAATGATTTATGTAGTGGATATTTAGCGGTTTATGCAAATCTTTATATCTTGTATTCCAAACTTTATTTTATTTTACTAATTAAATTGATATCTTAAAATCCCAATATTATAGCATTTCAGGGTACACATTCGTTGGGAAAAATGCCGATTCCATAAATACAATAAATCTTATATAAACTCCCAATCTACTGTCCACATCACCCATTTAAGGAGATATTTCAATGCTCTCCCTTGAAGTAGCAGTTTTAAAGTATATTATATTTTAAAAAATGGTTTACGGGTAAAAAAGTAGCGGCTTCTCATTCAAATAATGACTTTATAGCATTATTGAGGGGAAAAGGATCAGGTCTTTATTTGGAAAAAATTAAGAGTGATGCTCAATGTTGGCAGGGTAATCCACATTTCTACTCGAGTCTGAATTGGAGCAGCTTCTGTATGGATGTCATAGTATCTAGCCAAAACTGTGTTATCTGAACTGCGTAGTCTTCAATAAGGCAATCGACTACTTGAGCAGTTACAGTTTTGTAATTGGGGCTAGGAACCCCGACATGGGGTAAGTCAGTCCTTCAGTTTGGATATATAATGAACAATATGGATATTATTGTACTTCTCTCTAATGTACTCTAGCGTACTATCTCAAGCAGTGTTTTCTTTCATATGCCCTTGTGAACTTTAAGAGTAGTGGGAAAAAAAGAGGCATAATGTTGTTAGCTTAACTTGACTTTGTCAGATAAGTTCTATGTTGTTTACGGATAAGCAGTGTTTTTTTTTGTCAGTTAGGCGACGGAAGGTCTACATGCCTGACTGAGGGATGGTGGTATTCGGGTATTTGTTGCAATTCATGCTCGAATACAGAAATTTGCTGATGTCTAAAGGTATTAAAATACAGAATTCATCATCAATTAAATTTGATGACTTTAATATTAAATTTACCTTAGCTTTGAATTTAACCAAGGGAATTGAGAAGATTATACTTCCATTTTACTTTCTGATGCATCTATGATCCTGCAGAAACTGTATGTGTTGGTATTGAATTTTGAGTAACATTGTGAAGCCATGGTGATAAAGTTTATACTTCCATTTTGAGTAGCATTTTACATTTCTTGCAGCTCTCAAGTAGGAAATATGGTTAGATCTTAGATGATTGCAGATTTTATTTCTTGAAGAACAACCTCGGCTTTATGTTGGTGTTGAATGTTGCTCAACTTTGAATCAACAAGAGGCAGTCTGTACACTTGACTGATTGTCTGCTTTGGGATTGGTCGAAGTATATATTGGAATTGTGAGAAGATTGGCCAAAGTCTGAAGGTATTCCCTTTACATAATTCATCAACAATCAATAGCCCTATAATTTATGCACACACAAATGAATGACTTTTAAGAATTTGTTCGATCATTAATTTGAATGGGAAACCTTGCAGATTATATGCATCATTATAAGCGTCCTTTCTCTCTGTGTGTAAGAGACTATCAGTAATTATTATTTCTGTGAGCCTTTGCAGATCATTCATTTGCAATGACGCATCAATCAGATATTCATATGTTATATGAAGTGAAGCTTTTACAACGAGAGGAAAAATGACAATTTGCTGCAGATTGTTATTGCGATAAAATTATTCCAAAGAGAATGAGTTGGAGATGCGCACTGCAGGTAAAATAGATGTAATTTAATCAAACTTGGCTGCAGCAACTGAAGATCTATGTTTTCTCAAAAAAAAAAAAAAAAAAAAAATGAAGATCTATGTACTAAATAAATTTCTGATTTTAGCAGTGCCTCAAACTACAGATTCTCTTATAAGCTCAAATCCCTTGGGCTTATGTAAGTCCAATGAACATGTACGTTTACTTGAATTTGGTTTCATTAGTACTTAATGTTGACTCTGGTTTTGTGGCTAATGCTACATTCTAATAGTCATCTCTGCATTACAGGGATATAACCCTTGAAAATGGTGGTTCGTGGGTGTCTCTACTTATATTAGAAGCTCATTGTTGACAGGGTAATGCACATTTCTACTCCGAGTTTGGTATAGATAGATGGTTTGCTCGTAAACTCATAAACTACCTTCAGTACAGATGTCATAGCATCTGGCCCTTAGGCTTTAGCTTAACTTGTCTTTGCCGGATAAGTTCTATGTTGTTGATGTTGATTTTTTTTTTCCCCTCTTTTGGGTGAATGAGTTAGGTGAGGGGAGGTCTACATACCTGACTGATTGGATGGTGGTATTGGTCGCAATTCATACCTGACTGATTGGATGTCTAGAGGTATTTAAATACATAGTTCATCATCAATCAAATTTGACTGAGTTTTAGATTAAACCTTCGTTGGAATTTAACCAATGGAACTAAGAATATTACATGAAACATATGTATATGCATAAGCATTACATTTCCATTTGCTCTCTGATGTATGTATGATTCTAATTATTTTATGGTTGTGCAGAAACAATGTTGGTAATAGTTATTTGGCATTGAATTTTGAGCAACATTGTGAAGCCATGGTGGTTTTGAGCTGCAAAATGACGATAAAGTATGTGACGACCTTGGGAAGAATATCTTGCTTTCTTACATGTAAGCTGCTTTAATAATTTGTTGCTGCAAATATTTTTTTTTTTCTTTGAAGGACTTTTGTCATTCCAACCAAAGATTATAATATATGCATTTCCAATTCTTGCAGCTCTCAAAGAGGAGATATACTTAGGTGATCACAGATTTTATAAATTAACCTTGGCCTATGTCGTTTTGCAATCCAAGTTACTAGATTTACATATTTCTTCCTTTTCAATGTCTTGTAATGAATTGCTTTACAACCCTTAATAAAGGGGAGAAAAATAGAGGGGGATATTGACTTGAAAATATCTGCCCTCTTGTATTTCAGAGAAACTCCCTAGCTAATTGGTGCTGAATGCTGTTCAGTTTTGAATCAAACCAGGGGCGGCCTGTAAACTTGACTGATAGTCTGGTTTGGCATTGGTCGAAGTATATATTGCCTTAAGGTATTCCCTATTTTATAAATTTATTAACAATCAGTAGCCCTATAATTTAAGCCTGAAAGGATTTCTATTATTTCAATTTTCAAACATGCATAAATGAATGGCTCTTAGGAGTTTAATTAATCATCGAATTTGATGGGGAACCTTGTAGATTATAGCATCACAATAAGCTCTCACTATCTGTTTTCTTTCTCACTATTTGTCTCACTTGCAATGATGCAGCAGATATATCATATGTTATATAAAGTGAGGCTTTTACAATGGGAGAGAAAATGACACTTAATTTGCTGCAGGTTGTTATATATTGTGATAAATTATTCCAAAGAGAATGAGTTGGAGATGCACTCTGCAGGTAAAAGATGTGATATATTTTAAAAAAATTGACTGTTGCAACCGAAGATCTTTGTACTAAATTAATTACAGTTTTTTGCAGTGCCTCAACAGCCTCAAACCAGAGATCTCCTTATAAGCTCAAAACCCTTGGGCTTATGTAAGTCCAAATGAACATGTACGTTCACTTGAATTTGGTTGTTTTTACGTTGATTCTGATTTTAAATTTTTTGCAATGATGCAAAAGAGATTTCTCATGTTACATGAAATGACACACTTAAAGCTTAATCCAGGTTGTTATTGTGATAAAATTATTCCAAAGTGAAGTTGGAGATGGTAGAAAATTTGTGATTTTCTTACAAAAAAATAAAAATAAGTGGCTGCAGCAACTGAATATCTTTGTACCAGATAAATTTCCGATTTTTGCAGTGCCTCAAACCAGAGATGCCTCTTGTAAGCTCAAAATCCTTGGGCTTATGTAAGTCCAATGAGTTTGGTTTTATGAACATGTACTTACGTTCACTTGAATGTGGTTTTCAATAGTTCTTTACGTTGATTCTTATTTTATGGCTTGTTCTGCTATATTCTAATGTTCATCTCTCCATTACAGGGTTTAACCCTTGAAAATGCGGGTGTGTGGATGTCTCTACGTATGTTGGAAGCCCTGAAGCCTTGGATTCTTACTGGTTTCTCTTATGCTCTTACCATGTGATGACTAGTGCCGTTTGAAATGTCCCATTAACGAAAATATGCAGGTTAAAGAAGCACTATCTGTTATTTCTCTGTCTAATACTTGCATAACTGCTTAACTTGTATACATGTAAAATGTTGCTAATTTTTGTACTTGCGTTTGCACAGTGGACATTCTAGCTTGCTCACACAGAAATCCATGACGACTCAGCATATGGAAATCAATTTTCCCAATCGACGTAGAAGATCATGTGGCAAACTTGAGATCATGGTGCTAATAACTTATGAATCAACAACTGCTGTTCCAGCAGCACGTTTTGAAGTCAGAACCGTCCTGTGGGAGTATTGGAGCACTTTGTGGCAAACCACTTTGCTAGAGCAACAAGGAGATAACAGCTACTGATGATCCAGCCCACTTGGCTCAATATGGCAGTAACGTTGGAGGTAGTGGTTAGCGTTTTGATTAGGCTGATAAAATGGGCTACATCCTCCAAGTAGAAGAGAATAACCCCAACAATGCTGATATTTTTGCTGTTTGATAGAACCTACCCAAACGTTACCTCTATCACTACCCGCTACTTAAACCACTCAGCTACTGGAAATAAGGAGTACAAAGCAAACATCTCACGCACAAAATAGAGGAAAGGCAAAGAAGGATGAAGGGAAGTTTTCCATATAAGATGTCCGGTTTTTTCACCTGATTGAGACCCATATGGAAGCCGATCAGCGCCAAATTTTTACACAACGTTTCTGCCATCCCATGCTATACATCGAATGGTTAGATTATAGTTTTGTGCTCCGAATATTGGTAATCTCTATTTGTATGGAAAATGGTTTGTTCCAAACATGTTGTTTGATGTTGTAAAGCCTCCAGCATTGTTTGGAGAAGGACAACTTGGTGTATCCATTAATTATTATTGATTAGTGGAAGGGCTTGGTGTCGGCTTATGGTACCCGTGGTTTTTTCTCGGATTGGGTTTCCACGTATATCTCGATGTGCTTTATTTTTATTGCATTTGAGTTATTTAGAATTGTTTGTTGTTGTCCATATTGTGTTTGCTCAAGATTTACAGCGTTTTCCCATTCTACAATACATTAGGGAAAATGAAATCGTTGTGCTTCCGCTTGTGAGGAAAATGAAATCGTTGTGCTTCCGCTTGTGATTATGTATTGTGTGTACATCTTTCCCGTTTTTGTTTTTAGTTTTTTATCAATGGGATTGGGCAGTGGGCACCGTTTTTTGTTTTTAGTTTTCTATTTTTATAAAACAAAACAAATAACCACAATCAGAAAATAAGAAAAAGGTATTTTACTTTTCCGTTGTCAGTTTTCAAAATTATTAAAATTTTAGTAATTTTTTATCAATATATTTATATATGACATACAAAGTATATCATAAAGTCAAAAAAAAAAAAAAAAAAAAAAAAAAAAAAAAAAAAGATAATCACAATGATACCAAACAAACTCTTAGACATGAGTCCCTAAAGAGGAAGCTCCCAGCTCTGCATCATAAGCTGTATTTTCAGACAAGGGGACTTTGAGATGCAATTAATGCCTCACCACCGTTGTCATTCCATAAGAAGCTATCCGATGTGCAAACAAATTACGGAGTACAACTTTTGTTACCAAATCACGTTAGTTATATACTTATATTAGAAGCACAAACTCATTTATGTTGCAGTTTTGTACTTGATATTTACTAATGGGTGACTAAGCCCCATCTGTGCCGCTAGTGTAGTACCAAATACAGTTTAGTTTAAGTTCCAAATTTGGTCGTTTCAGAAAACAAAACATTCCAATTTGGGTCTTGCAATGCTGACTTCTACTCATCACTCACATTAAATAAAAATCAGAGAAATGCTTGTCTTCAGACTCTGAATGTTGATCGAGCAGAGGATTGAGAGGACTAGCCTCCCTGCAAGTAAGGTGATGAGGGAGCTCAAACATGCAAGCAATTGTAAGTCTGGATTATTTGCAAGTGAAGAGAACATATTGTTCGTAAATACTGGACAAGCATCAATGCAAAACTATTGAACCGTTTATTGGTTCGTCTTCATAACTCAAAATCAATAGTAATGAGATGCATATTGACAACATGTAATCATGTATCACAGTTATTTGCTTCTGCAAAGATAATTATCATCGTATGTGCCACAATGGCATCAAAAATCTTGGAAATTTAGAAATTTGGGACAGTAATGACAGAATAAGCCATGAAATCTAAATGTGGATGGCTTTGTCATAAGTTGCCATCGCAGCTTCCTTCAAAGCCTCACTCATGGTTGGGTGTGCATGGCACGTACGTGCAATATCCTCGCTCGATGCCCCATATTGCAATGCTAGAACAGCCTCATGGATGAGTTCACCGGCATTAGGTGCCATAATGTGAACTCCTAGAATCTTGTCAGACTCCTTCTCAGCCAAGATTTTGACAAGTCCTTCAGCGTTATCGATTGCCTTGGCTCTACTGTTGGCCATGAATGGAAATTTACCCACACGGTACTCAACGCCAAGAGTTTTTACCTGCTCTTCGGTCTTACCCACAGAAGCCACCTCAGGGTGTGTGTAACAAACCCCAGGGACCAAGTCATAGTCCACATGTCCATGCTTTCCTGCAATGAACTCAACACAGGCAACCCCATCCTCCTCTGCCTTGTGGGCCAACATGGGTCCTGGGATCACATCACCAATAGCATACACTCCAGAAACATTTGTAGAAAAGCGTTCATTGACCAAAATCCGCCCAGCCTTGTCCATTTCTACTCCAAGGTTTTCAAGCCCAAGCCCAGATGTAAATGGTACTCTGCCAGCAGAGACAAGAACCACATCAGCTTCAAGTATGGTTTGCTCACCACCAGCTGACGGCTCAACAGTCAGCTTCACACCATCCCCAGAGGTGTCTACACTAACAACCTTGGTCTTCAGCTTAAACTTCATTCCTTGTTTCTCAAGCGAGCGCTGGAATTGCTTGCGCACTTCACCATCCATGGAAGGAACAATATCTGAAGCAAATTCGACAACGGTAACCTCTGAACCAAGCCGGCCCCAAACAGAACCCATCTCAAGGCCAATATAGCCAGCACCTATCACAACAAGCCTCTTGGGGATTTCTTTTAAAGCCAAAGCTCCTGTTGATGATACAATTTTCTGTTCATCAATGGTAACTCCAGGTAGAGACTTGACATCAGACCCAGTAGCCACAATTATATGTTTGCCTTTCACAACAGTGTTTTCGCCTTCAAGAGTGTCCACAGACACTTCAGAAGGAGAAACAAATTTGCCATAGCCCTTCACATACTTGACTTTGTTTTTCTTAAACAAACCCTCGATACCTCGGGTCAGATTAGCCACGGCTTTGTCTTTTTGGCCCATCATGGCCGGCAAATCTACCTCAACTGAAGAGAATTTCACACCGTGGGATGCAAAAGCATGCTTTGCTTCATGATACATGTGAGAAGAATGAAGAAGTGCCTGCAAAAAACCATGCAACACTACAAAGGCTTAGATACCATAAAAGTGAACTAAGGCTAGATAAATTGGGTGTATACAGAGAACAATTCATCATACATGGAGCTCAAGATGAAGTTGCATCTAGCAGCTGGTTATAGATTGCGAAAAGACAGGCACTAAAATCATTAGACAATCAAGGAGTATGTTTGATGTAGAAATGACTAGTGAGAAGCTAGCTTTTAGGCAATAGGGCACCCCATTTCAAACTCACCCTTCAATTAAATTTAACCCATCTACAAATTTCAGCCAACAAACTCAACAATTATGAAATCCAACACTTATAGATATACACAACAAGACATAACCATCCATATAAAGAGCCACAAAACATATATGCTAAGCAAAGAAACAGTCATTAAACAAATAGATATCCCATGTTTTCAAAAAAAATAAAAAAAAAAACAAATAGATATTCCATAGATTAGATATAATAAGAATAAAAATAAAAAAGTTGGTAATGATTTACCATCAATATCATTTCTATTATCTTTTATATTTCTAATTTATTGGCAACACCATTTAAAGAAAACAGCAAAAGGAGAAAAAATAGTGAAACAACACAGCTCAATATAATAGAAGTAGAACCATACAACCCATAATGACAGCCGCTTAAATAAGAGCACGCATCATATGTTTGGGGAAAAAAAACCAACTTAACCCGCACAAGTCACAACTAAATCATACTTCCCTGTCCTAAAATCTAATATCCAATGCAACATTTCCTTATTTGCACATGAATCATCTGACACTCTTCTCATCACATGAGCACCTTTTAAATTTCTCTATATCTCACTTATCATCACATGGACTCCTAAAATGTGCATTCCTCACATGTTGCAATAATAAGAATGGAGGACAACCAAGTGGCCAAATTAAAAATACAGCAAACTTTTCAAACAAGCATTACAATTATAATTGTTAAGCAAAATTTTACAATTACAATCAAACAAAAATATTTGAATTTCCTGAGCAGCACCATGTGTATAATTGACTTTTAATCAGTAACAATAATAACCCCAAAGATTCAATTGTATACATAGGTGATTTGCACCCTCCCTCTAATGAAATTATATTGCACATTATGCTTTCTTCCTTATTTGGGCAGTTCATGCCTCTCTAATGTGACGGATCTGCATACTCCAGCACAAAAGCATGCACTAATAATCATCAAACTCATTAATCATGGTGGGAAAAATCCTTACTGTCAAGTGGCAAGGACAAGTGGGGCACACCCAACTTATTAAAATTACTTCAACTCATTAAGCAAATTTCAAAAGTGTGTGTTCTAGACATGTTCCTTCATTCTTGTGCGCTTTTTCTCCTACTTATAGGCATAGATCCCCTAGTCGATCCTAAACTTGCCACTCTTTCTATGTTGTTGAAGTTTATGGAATTTTCTGTCATAAGTACGTAAAGGACTCGTACAATCTATGGAGACACTTCATCAGTTGGTCAAATTAAAATACATTCACTCTCAAAAACAACTTGCACAAAAGACTTCAAACAAAATTATTATACACATGAAACACCATGTAAACATTCTTTAGTAAGGGTTCCAAATAATACACAACCACAAAAAGGTCAATGATCCTAAAATCAGTAGCTTCTCATTAATAATAAGATCTTATCATGGTTTTTAGAGCAGCAAGTACTTGGATGGTGCCACACAGACTGAAAAAATGGCACAACTCAAATTGAAAGAAGAAGACAAACAATTAATTGATTCCAATTATGAAATATGTAGCTAGGTGTAGGCCCAAGTACATCCCCAGATTTGCTGTGGCTTGTAATATAGAAGTTTAGCCAGAAAATATAACTTGTCTTTCTTCCACTCCGTAGACGAGCAAGAAAGAATTTTGAATAAGTATTAATTAGTAAAGAATAACCATCTTAGTTTCCTAAGATATAGGAATCGAGTATGGCTAGAGGTATTTTTTTTTTTTCATTAAAGGGATAATTTCAAATGCCACACTGGCAGGTTCCTAGTCATATGCAAGGACTGTGAGGCTAACTCGCATTTGATGAAGATAACACGTGGAGAGCTAATGCAAAAGGCTACGCCTTTCAAAAGAAGATATAGATGTGAAAGGACTACAAGAGAGGATACTAACATGTGTCTGTCGCCAGCCTAAAAGGGTTCACATTGTCCTATACTCTAGCGTCAATTACATATCTTTCAAACAGTCTTTGTCACTCATCAATCGTTTTTGTCATGAACTACAATAAGATTAAAGCTTAGGCATCCTTACACAAGATTTATATTACTTCCAATTTATCATTTCCAATCTATAATCAGCATCAAGACTGCAGAAATTAAGCACTGCATAAACTGAAATTCTATAATCGCTCAATAAAAACCCAAATCACAATTAGCTTAATAGTTTTCATTTCTCAAGTTCTCCCCAATAATATGAAATTCCTTAAATTAGAGAAACAAGCAATTGCCATAAACAATCCTAAAATCCATAAACATAAAATCAATTTCCATCAAATTAGATAACTAAAAAAAACAGTACAAATCGACCCACATGTAACCAAACCCACACCATCGCAAATTCACAATCCAGTTGACCAATTAAAACCAACACAAAAACACCCAGATTTCTTCAACTAGCTAAAATCACCCCGAATTATCATAACTAGATCTAAATCAAGCCAAAAAGATCAAAATTCAACAAACCCTAAAAAACCAAAATCACTAAAATCAAAATTCAAAATAAAATTCAATTACCTTAGAAGGAATACAACCAACATTAAGACAAGTACCACCAAGAGCACCACGCTTCTCAATACAAGTAGTTTTCAGCCCAAGTTGAGCAGCTTTAATGGCGGCAACATAACCACCAGGACCACCACCGATGACGACGACATCATTGTCATCGGATCCAGAAGAGAAGTAGCGAGAAAAGGAAGAGAGAGAAAGTGTGTAGCGAAGAGATTCGGTGGAACTGCAGAGGTTTTTGGAGAGAAGGGTGGATTTTCTGCGGGCAATGCTCGACATCGCCATTGTTGACGCTTTTTTTCTTCTTTTTCTGTCGCTTTGGTTTTGAAAAATGGGGAAATAAAAGGGCTATGAAATGTGTAGTGGTGTTGTTATTGTCTTTTAGGCTTTGGTGAATGGCAATGTGCGAATGTGTTTTTTTTGGGGTTATGTAATTTTGGAGGAGACGATAAAGTTTTCAATTTTTTGCGGCCGCTAGGAGAGATCATGTTTTACTGTTTTAGTGGAGTCATGATGGTCATTATGGGGGCTAAAGCTCGTCTCATTAATTGCTTTGAGAGTTGGGATTTCTTTTTTAATATAGTTGATTGAGGTTTTAGTTTAGTAGGGTTTTGTTCTTATAGAGTGTTACTTATTAGGTATAGTTGACTGAGGTTTTAATTTAGTAGGGTTTTGTTCTTATGGAGGGTTTTGTTCTTAAGAACAGGGTTAATGTGAGGAAAAAGGATTGAGAATAAAAGTTCTTTATTCTTAATTTCCTGCATAGAGATAGATATTACGAAAAATTTCAAGTTTCTCTTATTGATAGCCAAAATGTGTTTCTCAAATGGCAAAATTGCAAATAAATACAACTTTTTTTTAGTATAACTGCTACATGAAATCACTATTTTACCCTAAGTTGAGCTAGACCTAGTTGATATCACATATTAACAAACTATGTTAATATCCTTCTATTTCTTCCCCTCCCAAATTATTTCCTTCTCTCTCCTTTGCACAAACACCGTTGCACGACCACCTTCGCGGCCATAATCTAACCGGCCGACCAAGCAAAAGACAATACACCCTAGTTTCAAAGCATGTAAAGTGGGCTCATATGAACACTTTAGGGAAAGGAATTTGCTCGTGCAGTTGTGTTAATGGTCGTGGTGGTGGTGATAATGCTCGTTGGTGTCGTGCGATGGTGATAATGGTTGGGGTGATCACGAGATGGTGTTAATGATCGTACGGTGGTCGTGCGGTGGTGCTAGTGGTCGTGCAATGGTGCAGTGGGTAGTGTGTACAGTTGTGCGGTGGTGACGCTGATGGGTTGATGGTGTAAATAGAGGAGAGAGAAAACGGGTATGGCTGAGAAAATACAAAATTACCCTTATATTAACATTTTTTGTTAATATAGACGTTGACTTATAGTTTCTCCCCTAAAACCGCTATTTCGGGGGGCAAAATCGCTACATAACATTACAAATCTAACCCTTTGATTAACGAGTTTTGTTTCTTAATGTGAGAAATTAGGACGGCCTCAAATATTACATAATGAAAAGAAAAGTGGTAAATGACTAGTAATTTGTCTCTTTTATAACTTATTCTTCTTTGAAGATTTGATACCACCACATGTTTTACGCTTAATTGCTAGTTCATTTTGAAACTTTGGAGAATTGCCAAAGACACCCTACAAATCATTGTATTGAAATCTAGAAATGTGCAATTTGTGGTACAACGTGCATGCTCCCGACAGCTTTGATGTTTCACTGTACCCATTACTTCTATTTTTATATTTGGCATAACAACTTGCAAATTTACCGAGAGCAATATTAATTCCCCACCAATGTTGTTTGCAAGCATTTGCATGCCTCCCTTATCCCTTAATCTTTTTCTTTTTTCAAAGTTGCAATTATCCCAACTTTTTATAATATTTACTTTTATACAACTATAAATATTTAACATATATAATGTGCTTTGGGATGCGTAAATTCATCTTCTTGTAATACTATTGGAACGGAGGAAAATTTTAACTTGCAATAACAAGAAGCTAATTAAGTGTTTAATCTTCTATCGACCAAGACAACCCTTTTTCCATCTCCTCTTTGACTTGATTTGTGGCATGTAAGTCGATGAGTAATTGAATAGTAGCACTTACATTAATGTTATTTGATGGAATTGAATGTCGTTGATTCACCAATAAAGGGGTATGATGGAAGCAAGGTTGCTTAACATTTTGACTAGTATAATTTAAGTACGTGGATTAATGTTTTGAGATTGTAGAAATTATGTTAGATTTTCTACATGTCCTGTACCAATATTTGGGTAATTAGGTTTGAGGAATTTTGGAATTGATTCTGTTGAGTTAGAGTTTAAAAGGAAATGTGATTGAGGATTATTTTGCGTAAAAAAAAAAATTAAAATTAGAATTTTGATTTGGCTCCATCAAATTGCAACTTTTATTTGTTGCTAACAATTGATTTCCCAATAGTATCATGAATGTGATTTTTACACGTCCTCTAATGAAAATACATAAAATTAAAATTTTGATTTTATAAGTTAAATTTTTACGATTTGAAAACACACACATACACACACATATGCATATTGTCATTAGAGAAACGGGGAAAAATTACATACATAATATTATTATAAACTAGCTATTAGAAAACGGATCACTATGATGAGTTGACACCACATTATTGGCCTAATGTGGAGAATATCATAAACAATGTGTTTTGACACGAGTTTTGATTTCCTAAATTCCATCCAAGAATGCCAATAGTCTTTGTCCACTTCATTTCATGAGTCTCACTCAAGACTACTATCAAAACTTTCCTTCAAACATGCGATATATGCATCTTTAATTTAGTTGACATTCTTCAAATAGATAAATAAAGAAGAATTTTCATGTAAGGTTTTATTTTGTAGAGCACAAAGAGCATGAGGCTCCTAAGTGTATGCTATAAATTGTGTAGAGGAAGAAACAAGTGAAAAGTGACAAATTAGTATTCTATTTGAAGTTTATAATTATTTGAAGGATTTATGTATTCGTCAAGTGCAATTACTAAATATATCAAGGATCATTATTATGGAGATAATTAGTTCATTATTTTGGGTCGTCATTGTCTGTTGCTAGATATGATAAATGATATTTGGACTAGTCAAATAGTCCAAAGTCTAATAAAATGGATCTTATGAGGTCACACACAAGGGTATTGGATTGAACAAGTATATGAAGCCCATTAATGGGCCTCATGAGGTAATGACAAGCCATGTAAGTTGTAAGGCTAGAGTAGTTTGGATTGGGTTAGGAGTTTGAGCTTCACATGGACTCTAATTATATATGTGATATATAGATAGATGTCTTGCCTAGGTTATGTATACAAGTCGCAATTAACCTAAGCAGTAGATAGTGAAGCAAGCAACAAACTCCCTTCCCCCCTCTCTCACACGCCTCTCTCCTTGTTCGTACAGTACGGACGTCGGCCCTTAGTGGCACACGATGGTGGTGGTGGTGGTTCGTGGTTCGTTCGTTCCTCTCCTCTACGTAGAAGGTTGATTGAAAGGTTCAATCACGACTAACTAGCACTAGTGGAGATTCAGTCTTTGCCCGTGGACCAAGTAGAGAAATCACGTTTGGGGTTCTTATTCTCCTTATTGTTCTTGCTCGATCACTCGTGAAATCCCGCTTCAAAGGTACAATTATGTGTTCTTTTTGTGTTATGCTTATAGATCCTATTTAGATGCTTATGAAATGATTCATGCAATCTGCCTATAGTACCTAAAACCTTACAGTGGTATTGGTTAGCCTCTTGCATTTACGCATATTGATCATAATCTTTGGTGTCCTCAAATTTTAATTCAATTAAGAGGGAGAATAATTTAATTATGGTTCAATTATTATATTAAATATGATTTAACTCTTAGAATTGATTAAATGTGATTTAGTTTGCTCAAAATAGCCATAAAGAGGACCAAGATTTTGCCTTATTGCACTGGAAAGTTTCGAAAACCTTAACCCTAGATCCGAAAATTTCAAAACCCTAAACCCTAAAATTTTGATTTTGTGTTTTGGTTTTTGAAAATTTTCAATTGTTTTATACTTCATGAATTTAACCTAGTTGATTTCATGTATAAATTATGAAATTTGCATAATCAATGTATTTAATTTAAGAGTTAAATTAAATTGGGGATTATTTTCATGAAGAACCCTAATTTTAAAATTTAATGTGATTGTAGGGAATATTTCAAACATCGATCAACCTTGAGCCCAACTGTGATCATGCATTTAAGCATGGTGGCATCCAAAGGAAAGGAAGCTAAAGATAAAAGAGTCGCCAACAAGTTTTAGGAACTTGTAAACCGTTCACGGTTGTGGAGGTTACACCCCATTCACGATCACGAAGATCGCTAACTCCATAGTGATCTGGAACCATGACTGGATATTCGGAATGATGGTATGAATTCAACCTAAAAGAGATTGAACCCGCCCTAAATCAGCCTCTACTTAATTTTATAATATTCATGTGCGTTTTTTGACTAACATACACACAACAAGTTAACCCTAAACCTGTTAAATCTATGTTGGTTGATTTTTAATGCACAAATTAATCTACTATCAGCGATCACTTGAATTAAATTCATATTAGTTTAAATCAAATTATTAATTATCTTATTATGCGTGTTTTCAAGTACAAATTCCCTTTAAGCCTATAGAAAGAGGGCGTGATCAAGCAATAACAATGAATAATAAATAATCAAGCAACATAATAATTATTGACACAACAATCGTTATCATAACCATATACCATCATAATATCAATATCTCCAAAATAATATTAGCAAGATCCTAGGCATGATACTAAACAGATTAATAACAAATCCTAGCATGTCACTAAACAATAAAAATCAAAACTTCAGCCTAGATAAGATACTAGAAAGCATGATATTAGAAATCACAAAAGCATCCTAACATGATACTAGGAAATTAAAATAAACATCCTAACATGATACTAGGAATCATAAAAGCATCCTAACATGATACTAGGAAATCATAAAAGCATCCTAACATGATACTAGGAAATTAAAATAATATTCTAAGCATGATTTCAATATCAAAAGAATAGTTAAGTAATTGAATTATTTACTTTGATGCCTCGTATCTCTTTCTATCAAAACAATACACTGTTAATAACTTCAAGAAAGATTAAATAAAATAAACCAAATAAATCACATAAGAATTAAAATATAGATTTGAGACCAAACCCTCAGAACTTTCAACCTTTCATGTCGAGGTCGAAGGCAATTTCGGGAAGGGGTTGGAGTATTCTATGTCTCGTGAAGGAAGTATGGTGTATGATATCAAGAAGGTGTTGGGATGTGTTTAGGCTAGGCTAAGAAAGAAAGAGAGAAAGAATAAGCTTTTAGCTTAGAGAGAGGGATTAGATAATGATTGTTGGTGAATCAAAACGGGGTAAATGACCTCTATTTATAAGAAAAAAGAGGGTCGATATAACACCACAATAATTCTCTCTTAAAACCTGT